GTAAAAAAAAAGATAAAATATATACTGTTGTGTGTACATGTCATTGACTAATGCACTACAATGTGCTCAATTTTTGTTCAGAATCAGCTTCTTATCACTGGTAACGACGCGGCTTTCCTCATTTCCTCATTTCCTCGTTTCACTCATTCCCGCAGCTTCACAGTGCTTTAAACAGTCGGACGTACAGCAGGGCTATTCAACTAAATTTCTCCGGGGGCCACAGTTACTGCAGACCAAGAACTCAGGGGCCAAACATTCAGCAATTAAAGTCATTGTGTAAATAATCCAGGTATTACTGTATTTAATTACGAATACAACATATAGAACCCTATAAAAATAGTGATAATTAAACAATTTCAAAACAAAAAGAACACATTCTGCCTCCTATTTAACACAAATAATATTTTGACATCTCTGACTTGCCGAATTTTTAAACCAATTTTATTTTCAATTTTATATTTTTATTTTCAACTGCTTGTATTTTTAGCTGTCTTGAGTGGGCATAGAAATGGCTTTTACCAGCTTGTAGCCAAGATTCTGACGTTTCTGTAGATATCAAGCATGTCTATGTTTAACTAAAAAAACGTAGAGTAATTAAAGTAGAAAACCAGGGGTTTGGGCTTAAGAGATGAATGAACCAATTGGCGGGCCGAACTTTGGTTACTCGTGGGCCAGATGTGGCCCGCGGGCCGCCAGATGAATAGCCCTGGTCTACAGGCTACAGAGCTCATAGCGATGCAAAGACTGCAGCCGAATGAGACGAGTCATTGGATAAATGCTGGCTTTGTCCCGCCCATCGGACGCTGAGCATCTCTGGGGGTCTATGGGGCAGGGGGCTGGTCGGACGCTCGTTGTCTGCATGATGATTGGATGATCTGTCGGAGGCTGAATCCCTTTTTGATTGACAGCGAAATGAGCGAATCAGCGATCTTTTTGGTGTAAACATGCATGGGAGCAGTTTTTAGTTTCGTTTCTGTTCTGAGTTGAAGCGGAGACTTTATTAATCCTTTTAGCAACATTTTCTTTGTTAAAAACGACTAGCAACAAATCAAACTTCTATTTCTGGTGTTATTTCTGTAGTTGCTTATGTTTGGAGACATTTCTATCACTCTCTCTGACTTCTGTCCAGCGCGGGTGCTGCTGAGCCCCTTCACCGTCATGAAACACCCACAGATGACACACTGCACACTAGCCTCGCTCCAGTAACAAGCTGCACGGCAGACATTTTGAATGTTGTGGACCGGATTTTGGTGAAGCCATTTGATACAGTCTTGTTTACAGAGAAAACCAGAGTTAAACGGCAGGGCTGATAAACTCCTCAGATTAATTTGGTGCAAAAGGAGGGGAAAAGTAACAGGTATTTTTAGCTGTTCTGGTATGACAAAGTGAGCTGGCTGCTGTAAAAGACTATAGAATAATCTGGAAAATGATTATAAAAGCATTGGATCAATTAATTCCTTTTAAAAAATCAAAGCAAATTTGGTAAAGAAATATGAAATTGTTTAATTTGTATTTGTATGAGTCACTGTTTGAGGAGTTGATTTTTTAGTTTTGTTTTCTTATTTGGTTTATTGTTTGAAATTAATTTTTTTTGTAAATAGGAGCAGCTATCATAAGGTATTTTTCTTTTTTCTGCTGCCTTTCATTTTATTTTATTTGTATTGTTTTGTTGTATGTAATGCTTTGTTTTTAAAAATGAAATGAATAAATACTATAAACTAAACAAAAGGAACGGAGGGTAGAATTTATAACCCACACATGTTATGATGTAGGCCGAAACTGAGCTTCCTCTTGTTGAAAGACCAGCATCCGCCACTGATTTCTATTCATTTAAATTAGAATCCAATTAATCTAAATTCTCCTGCAAAAATGATTCAATCTTCTTTGTCAACAAAGTGTTTTTTACTTGCTGTTTTTAGCTATGATAATAAAACTATTTGATGTAAACTAGGTGAAACTCTCAGTTTCTGATTATTTCAGCTTTAAGGAAAAAATGTAGAGCTAGGCAATCCTTTAAGCTGCTGTCATGATTATGCAGAATTTATGATGATTATCAGAATGTGCAAAATATTCAGTAACTAAACTTGAATTCTACTTTCTATTATGAGTTTATCACACTGAGTGGCTCTAGTAGCAAAAATAAAGCTTTGTTCTACTTCTGTCTAAAATCTGGAGAGAATTGCTTTAAAAACACAACACAACTTGATTGTTTTTATTTTATTTCAATTATCAAATTACCAGCAAATTAAAAACTTGTGTTTCATAAACGGCAACTCAGCACTCTCAAATACTGAAAACGCTATTTGGAAGGCAACGCACATATAATAATAAAATTATAAAAGACATTTTAGAGAGAAATTTGTAGACAAGAGCTGAAAATAGATACTGTCCTGCTTCCCAACTCTGGCAGGAGAATGAATCATTTTCCACATTAATCAAAAGTCAGCCTGTTGCACTCGCAGCATATTTTGGGCAATTAGAGGGAGACATTAAGTGACCATTGCTCTGATTGAACCCGTCCAACCTCAGCTGCTGCCCAAACACAACATGAAACCCAGCCAGAGGGGGAAAAAAGAGGCTGTCTGTTAAGCTTAATAAAATGTCAGCTAATATTAGATTTAGTTGCAAAAAACGTAAGGTTATAAGTCATACTTGCAACAGAGTAGTTTGTACAGATTCCCCAATTGACAAACTACCAGCAGATTTACAACAATGAACCTGTTTAAAGTGTCCCTGAGCAGAATAACTGACAGCAGATGTACAAAAAGCTCTAACATTGTTGGGTTTTTTTTCATTTGTTTTATTCTAAATGTTAGTTTTATAAAGTAATGTGGTGTCTAAGCTGGTGTGCTGTACATTGTTGTGATGCAGGTGTTCCAATTCTTCTTGTAAGACATCGTATAAATTCATGTGTTAACTTGTATCTTTAGTTATTCTTTTTAGACATTTTAACGGTGAGGTTCAAAAAATGATGGCAACTCTAAGCGTCAAACTGCTTCTATAAATCAATGGATCCCAACAGTTCTGCAATACATCTCATCTTTTTTTTCCCAGTATTTTTTGACTGAGTACTTGTCAAAAAGAATTGGCCCTAAGCCTAAACTGTTTAGTCATTTTTCATTTCAACTTTGTCATTTTTTTAGCAACATCTGTAGTCTTGTATGTTTTGGCCCGGAGGGCAACTTTCCTGTTTATGTAATGGTGACAAAGCTCACAATGTTAGGATGCACCAACTGAATAACAACATTTTTGAAAGGAATATATATTAAATGCTCAAGTTTTACATTTTTCTTGTGAGATCTGTTAGCACTTGTAGTAAGTACTGAGGGTGATGCTCAGCCACTACCACAACAAATTTTAGCTCAGTATCTGAAAAAAATAAACATTTAAAAAAGGTGTCAAGGGTTTGTGGTAGAACCCAATGCAGGCGGACACGAGGAGCTTGAGGGCAAAATTAAACTCAATTATTTGAACACCAAAAACAAAAGGCTGATGTGGCAGCAAAAATGGTAAATGGTACTGAACTTATAGAGCGCTTTTCAAGTCCCTCTGGACCCCCAAAGCGCTTTACACTAACAGACATTCACCCATTCACACTCACATTCACACACTGATGATGGCAAACTACACTGTAGCCACAGCTGCCCTGGGGCACACTGACAGAGGTGGGGCTGCCATACATCGGCGCCACCGGACCCTCTGACCACCATCAGTAGGCAAGGTGGGTGAAGTGTCTTGCCCAAGGACACAATGACTGAGACGGCTGGACGGGCGATTGAACCGGTGACCTTCCGGTTCCAGGACGACTCCCCTAACCACTCCGCCACAGCCGCCCCAAAAATGCACAAAAACTGAGAAACACAAGGAGACACAAGACCAAAACTAATGAATGAACCATAAAAATTGAGTACCAGGGACAATGAGACACAGGAAACACCTGAACTGATTGGGGATTGGAAAAGGTGAGGCTGAAACACTGTGAGACAGACAGAGGGAGAGATATGACACAGGGAAACATACAAGGAGCCAAATACAAAAGCAATTGGACAAAAAATGAGATGATAAAAACTAAGGTGGCACAAGACAAGAAGCATGAGTCCTCAAAATACAAGAAAAAAATCAAGACGAATAAACCAAAAGGACTATACGCACACAAGGAAAAACAATGACCAAGTTATGGCAATATTATTTTTATGTCAGTTGTTTCAGCAATAATTTTGAATCAACTTGACTCTAAAAGATAATATGTTGTAAATGTACATGCACTGATAACTGTCAGAGAATTTTGTTGCAATCCATCCACTGGTTCATGAGATCATTTGCTAAAAGACGGACATATTAACACACAAACTATCATGATCACCTACCTTTTACAAAAGTGTATCAGTGTTGTGATCATCTTTTGACTTTAAATATATATTTTAAAAAGTGGATCTTCAGTGGTAAGCAGACAACGGTAACAGAAAACTGCAAAAAACACACACACAAAAATCACCTATTGGGCTATAAATAATAATAGTAAAAGGTTGAAATCTCTTGAAATAACTCCATGACAAATTTCTAAACTTTTCCAAAGTTTTGCTGTAATCGTCTGCTTTGTATAATTTGCTGTGAGAGATGAAAGACCACAGCACAGAAAAGGATAAACAGAAGGGCGTGAGGGGAGATTATCTTCTGTAAGCATCTGTCAGCTCGACCGGGATCCATAAGTCAACATTTACAAGAAAGCTAAGATATGGAAACATTGAAGAAAGATGTGAAAATCCCAGTTCACAAGAAACAGAAAACCTTTTCAACTCCTGTATCAACAAAACCAGGATTATCTTAAAGGACCCAAATAATGGCTAGAGATCACAAGACACTGCTGCTGCTTTAGGGGATTTTGCATCATTCAAAGCACATTTAAATTAACTTGTGTGCTGAAGTCATGCACAATGTGAGTGATGACAAAAAACAGAAGAGCAAACAAAAAGAGAAACAGTGGGATAAGTCTTTCCTACCCCAGGTGCTTCAGCTGTTTCCTGCAGCTCTCCTTCAGGGAATGTTTCATCTGATCCCTGGTTCTGCATGTCAGCAGCTCTGAAGTCCCTCTGATCCAAACAGAACACTTCATCAAAGCTACATCATGTATATCTTCACAACCAGCTGAAACACCATGCCTCTCACCTGGTAGCCAACAATCTGTCTCGTGATGCTGTTGATGTTCAGTAAATACTGTTCCAGTCTCCTCTGGTACTGGAGGGCAGCGAGATGAGCCTCGTGCTGAAGCGTTTTCACCTGAGCTAGCAGGGTCCTCTCGGTCCTCCTCCACCTGAGCCGCTCCACGCGGGCTGTGCGCTCCACAGCAGCGCCCCTCTCCTCCAGCGCGGCTGCGCGCGCCCGGAGCGCCTCCACACAGCGGTGCTCCTCGGCGGACAGCAGCGGCAAACCGCATCCCTTCTGACAGACTCCCTGACCCGAGTTCGCTTCTGTCTGCAGCTCCATCATCACTCGGATCTTGAACTTTGTTTGGCAGAGTCACAGGAGCACAGGCAGTCAGCGAGGCGCACACAGCGAGACTTTTCTGGGTTTTAGGAGAGAGTTTAGTTTAAATGTCTGAGCGCTTGTCTGCCTGACAGGACGGAGTGAAAACTTGGAGTGATCTGCGCAGCTCGGACAGAATGCATGGTGATGATGGTGATGGTGGTGGGTGAGGAGTTTCCTCACAGAAAACTTCCTCATCCTGAATCATCACATCACTTCAGCGTTTGTCGTTCTTTACATTTTAATGGATTTGCCTTGTATGCTTCTGTGCAGTTTGATCAAGTGTGCAATAAAGGTGTCAGACTTAAAAGGCCATTTCGGACATTTTGTTTGGTTCTGCAGAAAATATATTTATGAGTCAACTGATTACTTTTAGGATATGTTTGAATTATCTACTAATTATTTGCCTTACAGTGAATCTACGGTGGCCGACGCAGGTGCAAACGCGCAGCAAATGTCAAAAGGTGCTGCAAACATATGAATCATGCCAACTCCACTGCAAAACACACACCTGCACTGTAAAAAAAAATACCCCATATCTACTCAATAAAAATGAGGCAACAGATTACAAGCAATAATTAAATTTTGCAATGTTTGGAATTGAGTAAATATTAATTAAATGGAACGCATAATAGTTATTCATTTCATATAAATAGATTTGAATAGAAAACAGTTCATAATTATTTAAAACCTACACAAAAATATTCAGTGGAATTAAAAACAATGAACTTCTCAATGTGTAAATAGTACTGATAAAAATGTTTTAATTCTACATCTAAGTGTAATGTATCCCTCCATCCATTATCTGTACCAATTTACCTAACAGTCATGTTTTTGGTCTGTGGGAGAAAGCCAGAGTGCCCGGAGAGAACCCATGCATGCATGGAGAGAACATGCAAACTCTACCCAGAAAGAAAAAAATGTGAACTGCCAGCCACAAGACATTTGAGGAGAGATGACAAAAAGTTGCTTCCACTGATCATATATCAACATGTAACTGGTTCACTAATGGACTACTTATTTCTAAGAAATAAGAATATTTAGATTCAACTTATTTCGTTGATTAAGTTCAAATCAATGTATAGATTAATAGATGATTATTAGTCAATCACATTACACTTAGGTGGCACAGTAGCTCAGTTGGTAGAGCTGATGCCTTTCAGCAAGAAGGTTGCAGTTTGAATCCCGGCCTGCATCTTTTTGGGCAGAGTTTGCATGTTCTCTCCAGGCACTCCGGCTTCCTCCCAATGACCAAAAGCATGACTGTTAGGTTAATTGGTACAGATAAAGGATGGAGGGATACATTATGCTTAGATGTAGAATTAAATCATTTTTATCAGTACTATTTACACACTGAGAAGTTTTTTTGTTTTTAATTCCACTCAATATTTTTATGTATGTTTTAATTAATTCTGTACTGTTTTCTATTCAAATCTATTTATATTAAATGAATAACTATTAAGAGTTCCATTTAATTAAAATTTACTCAATTCCAAACACTGTAAAATTTAATTAATAATATTGCTTGCAATCTGTTGCCTCATTTTTATTGAGTAGATATGTTTTTTTTTTTACACACATTTGTTCTTCTATACTCATAGAGACTTTGCACTGACTTCTATTCATTTACTGGTAATTTCTATAGCCTAACCCTGACCCCTTACCATAACCATCCCAGTTCATACTTCACCCTATACAATTCAGTTTATGTGTATAGTACCAAGTCACAATGTCATCTCAGGGCACTGTACACAAAAACAATGAGCAACACCTGACAATCAAGGAATTATACATTAACTTTACCTAAAACTAATACATTAGAAATATGTATTAGACCTGTTTCCACATGGAATAAACAGAGTTCACTATTACACAGATTCATAAGGATGGTTATTTTAAAAGACAGCTGAAAGTGGAAATTCTTCAGAAGAAAATCTTAATATAATATTCAGTGTAGTAGATATTTGTGTAGCTTGCATCTGGTATTTTTGTACTAATAGTTGTATAACTGATCATATTAACAATTTTATTGTTATATCATTGTGATGTTATTGTTAATATGATGTTTTTATGTAGACCTTTATTACTGAGGTAATAAACTCAACTCAACTCAACTCAAATGAACTCATCTCAACTCAACTCTTTTTCTTTAAACAGTGGGTGTTCACAAACAATATACTACAGGTAAGAAAATTGTTACTTGTTGCATCCCTTTAAAAATACGTCCTGTTTAGTAGAGGTTACACATAAAACATCATTAGTCCAAGATTAAATGATTGGTGGGTCTATGCTATGCTCCTCCTGCAGAATTTTCTGTTCAAGTTGTGCTCCGATTAAACATTTCTCAAAGGAGACATGCTTCTTCACTGGCTGATTCTGCATCATTGTTTGCATTCTTCATTATAATACAGCCTTTTATCTAAACCCGACGCAGCATGACATACCAACCGCATGTTGCTGCAGATGTAGCGTCACATTTCAGGTCTTCCTGCAAAACAACCTGACTGTGGTCAGCTGCCTGCTCCAATTCAAACTGTGTTTTTGTGTTTGGCTGAGCTGTCAGGGAACAGGTGTAGATTTACCAAAACATTCATGCAATCAGTTGTGGGACTGCTCTCAGGTCTGCAAACACAGGCACAAACGGGTCAGAGGATATTTGTAATCAGTCAATCACTTTGGAACAGAAGTTGTGTGACTTTCCATACAGAGTTCATAGATAAAACGATACTGAAGCGCATGCTGCATTTTATGTTAAGATGATTTGGGCAATCAAGAGCACAGTGAGTGTTTTAATTTGAAAAAAAAAATCAACAGCCACCTTGGGTCAGACTTATCACACACAGACCATACGTTCAGACCGATAAGCCTTTAAATCATGGCAGAAAAAGAAATATATTATTTCTGCCTTTTGTTCTCTCCTTGAGCTGATTCCACTGAACGGCAGAGATGGATTGGACTGAAACTCAGGATCTAAATCAAATTGATTTGTTCTAACCTGATCCAAGAGGAGAAGCGTTATCAGTTTACCTTTCATCTGCTCAATATCTCGGAGGAGACAAAACTCCCGCAGCTGTTTCTCCTTGAACAACCAGAGCAGGGCTTTATCTGAGAGGGGGACAGAATGAAACATTATCTGCCACTCATACATAAAGCTGGTTTTGGTAGAGAAAAATGTTTCCAGATGGACGTTTTTAACAAGGGGTTGAACGTCCACACCTAAATGGGCCACTTCTTGCAAATGGTTGAATGATAATGAAAGTTGTCTGAAACTATTTCTAAATAAATAAATAAACAGTTTTTTGCTTATATGTGAGAGTCTGACTTTTTGTGAAAGATGTTTTATTTCTGCAATAAAAAATACAAATCTTTTAAAATCATATTTAATGGCCTATTTTCAATTTTACAGCAACAAATATTAAAAAGACATTTAAACCTCTTGCATTTGGTTTGTTTGGGAACCCAAACTGCCATTCTGGAACCCCTAGGTACTGTAGTTTTTAAATTAATTAATAGTCTGTTCATAATCATTATATGCATATTTGAGGATTGTTTAACCCTCAAGTAAAGCTATGAGTCAGAAACAAGTAAATGAACAATATGTGCCAGCCCATTCAGCTGAAACTGGTCAATTATTTTCCATTGTATGCATTTTTGTTGTTTTTCCTGTCTTTATTTATGTGTGTACAACTGACATATTATTATACAAGATCACAGGGATCAGGAAAACTGAAACCAGAAAAGGGACTGTCATGTCTCCTCTATATAAACAAACAGGTCTTAGCCATATTTTAAAAAAGGCATAAAAATTATATTTTTAGGCATCAACTTTTGTTATTTTCGACAGTTCTTACCATAAAGCTAATGTTCAAACATTAATTTTCTAACACATTTAGCTGTAATTATTTATTTTGTGTTTCAAACAAAAGCGCCTGTGACATCATGACTGGGTGTCTGACTTGAGTGCACAGACTGTGGTTCCAAAAATACAACATGGCAGCTCCAGTAAATCAGGTCCTGCTGACTTCAGTTCCTAACAGCAAGAAAAGGTGGGCAACTCGGTCTAGTGTAATATACATAATTATGTGAGAATGCATAATGTCGTGTTTTTTTTTTTTTTTTAAAAATTACTTTATTTGTTGACAGCTGAAGATGGGCACCAGCTTCCTTGTGACCTGAAAAAAAAAGCATGTAAAAACTAGATGAATGGATGTATGATGGAATTTATTTGTTGTTTTCTTTGGATATGTTGCTAACTGTTTTGTTCATTTAAAAGATTTTAATTTTCAAAGTAGTGAGCAGGTCTGACATAGAGCACGTACAGAGCAACATAACATTAAAAAAGAACAATGTTTTGAAAATGTTATATACATCATTAGCCCAAATAGTACGAACATTTGTGTTTAGTAGATTATGTCTTTGTTGTAACAATGAATCTTATAGTGGGCACCTGATTGGCAGCACATGGGGTTACCAAAAGTGCAAAACAGGTGTCAATAACAACAAAATAAACTGCTTGACAGAGAAGATTTGGCAATTTTTCATGTACAAAACCCACATACTCGGCTCTACTGCTCATCCCACAAATGCATGTTCCTTACAAATGTGGCTCCTTTTAACAAGAAATTAGCAGGCTTTCCAATAAGATCATAAGATTTATTTCCAAAAAGCATTGTTACTTCAAATATATTCATATACACCACAAATGCCCTTACTTTTTGTGTTATGTTTATAAGAAATGAAGATTTAGAGCCTTCCCAGTATTAAAAGAAAGCATAAGAGTCCACAAAATGATGATGTTTGTCTCATGAAGAATCTGTGTTGCCATGTTGTAAAATAGGTCAGTTTGTTTGGAGTTTCTCTTCATAACTAACATTTTTACTTCTGAACTAAATTGTTAAAAACAATTAACAATCTTACACCAAGAAGTTTATACCAGCGTCTGAAATTTGAACAAATAAATATTTAACAACATATTTTCTCTAAACTGTGAATCTGTCTTCAAAAATTATTTTTGGTTTAATGCATTGTTTTCAGGTTAATGAAAAAGCTAGGAAGAAAGCAACAGAGAAACATTATAGGTAACTACACTTTTATTGTTCCTTTTCAGCCAATGAGAGGTTTCAGCTTCATCCCTCATATATGGCAGTCACATCCAGCAGAGAACTGGATTCCCACAGACAGGCAGGTATGCTGCCACTTCCACCACTGATGTCATCAGTTCTCAAACAATATGTGTGCAATAGACTACAGGACCATTTTTAAAACTGGAATGATATTCCCTTCAGTCAGTTTAGAAGGTATCTTTAAAGAACCTCCTTCATTGAGACCTGACTCACAGAAGCTTAAAGCAGCAGATGCACTAAGATCTCTACCAACGCTGACTTACAGGGATGCCACTTAGGAATGGTATGGTTTTTAGAAAAGTCCTAGAAGTTTCTATGATAGTTGCACATTGCAAAGTTTGTTATCTCATGCATGCATGTTATAAGTTTGAGCTGCTGTGTTGTCCAAAATGTCAACGTTCAAGGCAATCATGCATTTGGCAACTCTATTTCTTTTCTCTCTCTCTCTCTCTCTCTCTCTCTCTCTCTCTCTCTCTCTCTCTCTCTCTCTCTCTCTCTCTCTCTCTCNCTCTCTCTCTCTCTCTCTCTCTCTCTCTCTCTCTCTCTCTCTCTCTCTCTCTTTTTATTTTGATGATTTGTGGCATGAAAATAAACCAAGAAAAGCACTTTGTGGTGGACATTGATACGGTCACAATGTAAAGAGGCATGACCAGCATCTGTCATGCAACAAAGACCCAAAGGAATTCAAAACGCAGCATTTGCTCCTCTATTCTGAGGGAAATAAAGTTTAAAACTGACAAGCCAGAGATGGGTCAAGACATACAGATATAATAGTCACAAACAGAAATGGCAATGTCGATAATGTTCATAAACTCTGATTGTATGTTATTAAAAGCACAAAAACTGTGCGTTCAAAACAACATTATAAGGTTTGGATGAGCTCTATAGATGGCTTTTGTTTACCTGTTGATATTTAAATAATGAAAAAATACAAGACTTCTGGTACATGAAGATCAGCACATGGTCTTATTTAAAAATGATCAGACATTGCACATTTAACAAAGGGTGTGAGCGTCGCTACTGTTTACCATTGTTATAGTGACTCTCACACAAAGCCAACCATGAGAGGCAATAAATGAGACTGAAATGCTAACATTTGTTGCAAAGCACCGACTAGTACCACTCATAGACCATGTATTATAATACTGGACCTTACATGGGATCCCAGTGGTTGAAGCTGGAAGAGGAACATGGACCGGCCTCAGGACAAATTTTAAGGCCCGCCCCTTCCATCAAAACAAATAGGTCTCGGCACTTATTAAAACTAATCCTCAGTTATTCTTTTCTTGACTCCTTGAATTGACATAGTTCTTAAATTGTTCACATGTTATTGTTCTAACATGTGTAGGTGTAATTAGTTATTTTGTATTTAAAAGAAAGGCCATGTCCCAGCCTCATATCCATAGTACACAAACTCTGGTTCCAAAACTACAACCTGGTAGATCCAATAAACCAGGACCTGCTGACCTAATCCCCAACAATGTGAGAATGTGAGGCACTTGGTTTAGTATTATAATATATGTCAGTGTCACTGTGGTTTTAATGATACAGTTCAAACAAGGTGGAATTAGGTATTTAGTTTCAGATCCCAGCACAAACCAAAATGTTGCTGCAAATTTGTGGTAAAACAACTAGAAGTCAGTGACAGATTTGCAGTTAAAATGCCATATTTGACAGTTTTGTTTTGTTTCTTTTGTTAAACTTCATGGCTTGATCTGCTTTCACATGAGCTGAAATATGCTGACCCACAAACAATAAAACATTTTACTTTCATTTAACAACATTAATACACACACAGCTGGGAAGTAGAAGTAATGGAGCTCATGGTATGGTTTAACAAATAAGCACCAGTTATAGATAAAACCAATCTGCTTCTTCTTCAGCCTTCATTATATTAGATATGACAATATCTGTTATTGAATATTTTAATTCAGTATGACATAATGTTTCTTTCTGTTTGTTATAAAAAAGATTTGCTTTAACTGTATCGCTGTAAGACAGTGTTTGCTTTAAGTAAAAAAAATGACACAGAACTGTAAATAAAAGTCCAAGTTTTATGATTTTTTAAAAACCTCCATAAGTATTTGATTACCTGATACTAATGAATGCACTGAAGGATTGAATTTTCCAAAACATCCCTGTTTAAATGATGCTTAGGTTGCTAAAAAAAATGTAGCATTATACCAAAAAATCTGTTTGAGATGTGAAAAAAAAACTTAACTAGCAAAATTTACGATTTACACTTTCAGTCATGATCCACTTTAAAACAAGTCACTGTGAAAGATAAGAGCAATCATTTATATAAGGCATTTAATTGTGACAGATCTCCTTCAACACTTCTTTTTAAGAGGCTTTTTGTGGATAAATATGGAATGTCCTTGTCCATTTCCAAATCATTTCGTGTCCATGTCGATTTCCGTAAACATCCCAGAGAGGGAAGATAGCTGGAACGTGACATCCCGGATAACAGGGCGAAATACAGATATTGTGGAATGACTCCCAAATCCTTACAGACGTAAACCTTCAGCAACCACGGGTTTCTCTGTCAGTAAGAAAAGACAAAGATGGCGCTACATTCAAATGTTCAGGAGGAGGAGAACCACCAGGAGCAGGGAGGGTACTCTGAGAGAAACTGTGGGTATAATGCCTCCACCTGAAAAAAAGAAAAAAAGAAAAGAAAACCAAAGATATGATCTTAAAACAATTTGACTGATGTCACATTTAAAGGCGATGTCATGGAAAACAATAGATAATGTCACCTGGATGCTTTATGTCATAGTTGAACAGACATGCAAAATTTTCTAAACACACTCACTAACAATTACTTGAGGGAGAGGCTGAAGGATCTGTTCACTTTGGACCAAGTATAATGGGCCCTTTAGTGTCACTGTAAGTACAAATTGTGGTAATGCAAGTCCAAGATTCCTTGCTGAGCATCACATGGCACCATTCATCATCAGTCTCTGCCCATATGCTAGGACACCACTACAACCTAAGCTATCTCTGCCTTGTTATTGGCAGCTTTCTCATGGTATGGTGAACTTGTAGTCCAGCTGATCCCGGTAATAAAGTCACAGTGAGGGATAACACAAAGTGTTGTAAGGAGTCTACTTCCTATGTTTGCATGGCAGGCACGTGGAGTTCTGTAATGGTTGGCATACAACACAATGATTCTTTTTTGGCATGGGCTGTTTCAAGCATCAGGACCCTTCACAGCATGTGTGGATGCCCTCAATTACCAATGACTAGAACATTGGAGCATCGGTACTCCTGAACATGCACAATACATCCAACCAGCCTTGTGTAAACCCATGCAACCTTTATAAAACTGCATCAAGTGCTGGTAATGCTATCCAATGTGACAATTGACTAACAGCTGATCTTTACTCAATGTTTGAATTGACTGAATCCACTTATAGCCAAACAAATTATGTGTGTACACATCACTGACATACCTAATTATATACAAGTCAAAACACTCCTTCTGAGTTCTAAACTTGTTAGTGAGTGTTATTGCATAATTCTGAAAAAAAGACACCTGCCCATATAATACTGGCAGGAGTACAGCTTGCAAAGAATGACTTCTAGGTCCCTTTGACATAAAAGTGTAAGTCTACAACACAATAAAGTAAATCTCTCACCCACTAATCAATCAGATCAAAAACCATATATGATGTGTAAATCACAATGTACCCCATCTGTGTAGAGATACCCTTCAATGGCTCTTTATATGCCAATGTCTCATGTTCATCCATTCCAATATAAATTTCAGTTTGTGAAATCAGACCATCAGGTGAGATCCAAACCAAATGATAAGGGATTAGGGAAGCAGAATGAGGGGTTTCCTCATCTCAACAAGATCAGTTACAGAGAGCTTAAGTTCTCGTCAGTCCAGGCAGCCTGACACTCCTTTAGCCGTGCAGAGACGATCCAGTCAGTGGGCTATTGAGGTTTAGTCATGGACCATCACACTTCTCCAAGCTGAGGTATGAAACCTGATGTGACAGCTAAACCCAGGCTCATGAGAACCCCACCACTTTTGACGAATGATAACCTACTGCTAACTTTGAGCTTGGTATAATCCTCAAACCAAATGGTAGAATGAATAGTCACATTGTTTCATCTCAATTATTTAGATGTTAAATATCATTAGATGACTTAAGTCTTTATTTACTAAATCATAGTTCAAATGGCTTTGATAGGAGATTACACTCAGTCAATACATTTAATTTCAGTAATGAGGAAATCTAATCCTTTTCAGTACTTTTTTTACTTAGAGCTTTTTTCCCCCAATTTTTTACTAATGTTTAATAAGGATTCTAGTAGAGTTACCTTTAATGCTGATTTGTGCCACAGCCCCATCTCCTCCCTCTGTATGCGCCCTGACTTCCACCAAATATTCCCCATCTGCAGGCAGGCGGAGTTCTATGTACTGCTTATTAGTTGTGTACAGTGTGGGTCCACCACTGCCCTTCGGTTTGAACAGCACCTAGGTATTAAAAAAACATGTTTAGGGGTACAGTATAAGAAATACAGGGCTCTTGGCAGAAACAGATAATATTGGACTCACTTTGTAACCTTCTATTGATGATTCATTAGTCAGTGGTTCCACCTGCTCCCAGGCAATATTCACAAACTGGCCCTTTAGCTTTGTACCTAATATTTTTGGAGGTCGGTCTGGAGCTTTTATATAAAAAAGAAACAAACAATAATTAATAACATTTCTGTCAAAGTAGCTCAGATGTTGTGTGTAGGTTGCAGATCTGCGAGGTGTATTGTTTTCAAAGTGCTTAAAAGTCTAACATACGAGGTTTCTTGGTGTGGATCCTGATGCGTTTGCTTGGTGGCCCATATCCTGCAGAGTTGTAGCCGCGAACCTCAATGAGGTATTCCGAGTTTGGCCTCAAACCATCAAGTTTAGTCTGATTTTCTGTGGCTAGCACGCCCACCCTTTGAGCTCCACCTTCACCGTCTTCATGATCCCTCCAGAATTTTATCTGAAACCAAAGACACTGAGGTGAGATGAAAAGGATCCAACTTGTTTTGGGAGGTGCTTTGCAGGAGTGGTTAGAGAATTAGAACTTGTGTTTGTTTCAAAGCTAGTTGTCAATAAAAGGACCAACAACACGACAAATTTATAAATTTTCATGTGTTACAAAAGCACGCTATTGGACAATAAACGCTACTTCTTTGTTTTTCCTGACTTGGACTAAAAACCCTAAATAAAATTAGTCAATTGTAATTATGACACAAGTTAGCTAGTGATATTTAGACGCTATATCTCATTATGACTTTAGTTTGAAGGTAAATCCATAATTTATTTCATCTTCTAACTCAAGAAAACAAAAGTCTTTAAGAATACGTTTTGTTGGGATCCTTGAAAACCTAAAATTTAACAGCACCAGTGAAGTTCTATTGCTGGTACATATGAAGCACCTAGGAAGCAATGATATGAACAACAGAAAAAATAAATAGGAAGCAGTAAAAATACAAAAAAAAGTTTTACCAAGATCCTTTTATTGGTAATTTATTTTGATTATGATTAAAAAATGAACATATAACAGTGAATTCTTTCTAAAACAATAAACACATTTTTGCAGGAATGCATATTGTGCCAAAGTCTTGCCTGCTGGTTTTAAACAACACTTTGGAGAGCTGTGTCAGCAGAATACCGTTATGTAGTGGAGAGGAGTTTCAGCTACTGCCAGACCAGACCTTTGCTCTGTATCTGTAAAACTGCCGGAATTGTGGTCATTGGGCCTCATGCAAGAACATGTTTGTATTCTTATCCTAAATTTAATAATAATAATAATAATAATAATAATAATAATAATAATAATAATAATAATAATAATAATAATAATAATAATACATTTTATTTGAAGGCGCCTTTCATAGTACTCAAGGACACCGTACAATGTAATTACAATAAAACAAAAGAATAAAGCAAAGAATAAAATAACAATAAGACATCATAGTTTACATAACAATTTACAAATAAAAACAATGTATAAAACAAAACATCCTACAAAAAGTAGGGTTAATGGGAGATATTGATTAAACTGAATAAGCCTGTTTAAAGAGAAGAGTTTTAATATGTGATTTAAAAATGGAGTTACAGGCTGAGTCGTTTCTACCTTCTCCTCTCTGTCAATGCTTTCTGCTTTCATTTAAAAGAGCTGATCGTCAGATGTTGTCCAAGATCAGGGTGGATATAGCTCACTCACACCAAGGACCTATCCATGTCAGCATTTAGCCAGGATGCTTTGAGTGTAAATAAAATGGCCCTGTCCATGTTAAAATGTTTTTTAATTTACAAAACTAAACAGCCTACTGTATTTTTACAGTCTTTATTTTGCAGATAAAATATGTTTATCAAATAAAGTCTAATGTTACAACTAATCAGGGATCCATTTAATTAGCTGTACAGCAGATGGATACACAGTGACTGTATTCTCAAAGTTTCCTTAAAATCTGTCCAGGGTTTCATCAGATGTGGAGACACGAGGCAACAGATAGACGAGAGAACACATGAAGGCAGCAGGCGTTACTGAAACTGTCACCAAAACACCTCAACCACACTTCTATTACTGTCATGATCTGTGTATTTTGCTAGTTTTATTTGTAGCTTTTTTTTACCGTATTGTTAGGGTTGTTGTTGTTTTTTTTTTCTTATTCTTGTGTTTATTTTATTTATTTTTGTTTGTTTGTTTTTCCTGTTTGGCTTCCCTGTGCCATTCCTTACTCACCAGCAGTCAGCTTCTCCAGTGTTTTTCCAGTCAGCTTGAACTCTCACCTGTTTTCAGTCAGCTATCAACTCAAGTGCCCCCACTTTCCCAATTACCTCTGCTCTACATATCCAGCATCTTTCCATCTTCAACTCAACAGCTCAGTTTGGCTTCATGCCACAGTTTCCAGTTTGCGCTTCATTTTCTAGTGTTTCTCCTCCATGTTACTGGTGACCTGCCTTTGTTGTAAGCTTTGGCTGCCACAAAAGCTGTTAGTTTTTAGTTATTTTTTTAATAGTAAATCGTTTGTTAATTGGAGTTCCCTAAGTTGACTCAGCATTTTTGGTTCAGTCCATTCAATAACTGCAGTAATTGGTGCACATTGTGTAAGGTTTGAAAAGCTCCTTAACTATTTTGACTCCATCTACCTATGTGTACAAACTACAGAACTAAAATGTACTAAAAGAGTAAAATTACATTGTTTCCTGTGTAAGTGTGGGGGACTGGTGACGAAATAAAATGTTTTCACTCTTTATGGCCACTAAAAGTTTGAAGAAATATTGTGCTGAGAGCAAAATGTTCTCCTACTTTAATGCTTTCAATGAATATATGTAAAGAAGCTCAAACTCAGAACATGCAGGCAACTTGGCAAAATTGTTTCTGCTGAAAACAATACCTGCAGTCATGGTACTTGGCAGGCGTGCAGTAAAAGTAGGTACTTCAACAGAGTGTAACACTGTCTCACTGACCTGGTATCCATCTGTGCTGTTCTGTGGGAGGTGATTCCAGGAGATTGTAGCCATTGTGGCAGAAAGCAGTCGAACGTCAACATTTGCAGGAGCTTCAGATGGTGCTAAAGAGAGACCCAGAGTAGATTCAGGTAAATATATCTGTAAGAGAACTGTTATAAACTACAAATATGTATAGCTTGAACTACAAAAATACATTTTAATACTATTTTAGTGATGAATATACAGTGCATGATCATAAAAGGGGACTGTATATGTATGCCCTGGCTGACATTCTTTTACAAGTCATGATTTGATCATAAAATAGCATAATTATGAAAAATACAAGTTATATATTGATTTGAGAATAATCCTGTGACTTATGCTAATAGAACATTTTGAAACTAAGAAACTGGGGTTAAATTGTCAAACTGTCAGTAGTTGAAATTTGGTTGAGAAATACAAAAATGCAAAGCTGCACCATTATTGCGAAATGTCTACAGGTTTACAAAATCAAAGTGTTTCATTTATATAATTATAGTCATACCATAAAATAAGTTGCCATGGAAATAAGCCATCTCTGTAACCTATTATGTGTGGATTGTTCGAGGTTATCTCAACTGTCTGTCATTGAAAGTTAATAACTAGGCTAAATGCTTCACCTCCCTACAGGCAAATGATCAGCTTTCTGGTTCATGCTACGCAAATCATTATAAACCCCCCACATGGGAGGAGACAGAGAGGAAGATGGGCTCGCTTTCAGCGAGTATTAACATTCCTCAGAACAATACGTGGGGGCTTACTGTGTTTAAAATCACTTTTCCTCATTTTTCCTTTTTATAATTGAGAGTGTTGAGAGCTGTGTTCAGAGCTCACCGTCCTTTGCAGAGTAAATGATGGCTGTCAGGCTGTAGGGTCCCTCTCCTTGGCTGTTAAATGCTTTCACTTTGACTTCAAACTGCGTCAGAGGAGCAATGTTGGGGTCTTTGTGGACATAATGTTTGGCCTCGGGATCAGTTACTGTTACCCTTTTCCACTCCAGCTCACCGTGGGGTTTAAAGGCCACGATGTAGCCAAAATTTGTCCCAAAGTAGTACGGAGGCTGGACTGGCTAAAAAAAAAGAAGATGAAAAAAAATTACAAACATATTTGGATCTTTAAACCTTTAAAGTTCAATTTAAAAATGGATATATTCATTGAGATATGTTAATTTTAAGGGGACATATGCAAAATTCACTGTTTTAGCCTTTAAATGCATTTTGTTGTGTAGTTGGGAGTCTCTAGAAGTGCAGAAAAGTTTAATTTAGTCTCTCTTTGTGCTGTGTAGATATCCTTACATTCTGTTTGTGTCATATTTATTTAACCCGTTCAGTTTTCTCTATTCTCTGGTGCTTTCTGAACTATTATGTCAAATTATTCATGATGGAACAGATAAACAATGTCTGGATTTACCAACTACAATTTCATCATCTTCATTCTCCTCTAGTTCTGTGTCAGATTCTGGCTTCAACATGTAAGGTTGGACGGACAAGTCTTCTGTAGTTGATATATTTTAATTGTTTTGTTAATAGTACGTTTCTGCATCGCTAGATAGTCGTAAAACCCTCTATCAAACTATAGTGCACCGCTCTGGAAACTGGAGGGGAAGCGGGGTGTGAAGCATCTAGTTTGGATTTAAAGGAACAGCATCAAAACGAGCTGCTTTAAGACACACCTCAAAAAAGGGGTGAAAGAGGGACTGGTGGAGTTACAATAAGGAGGAATTCAAACCAAAGCATTGCTGTTCAACTTAATAGAGACTCCAACTGATTGATTTATATGTGGAAAAAAAAGATTTAAAAGCATGATCTGTCTACTTCAAAAAGTGCATCACAAAACCCATCATAAAAACATAAAAGCTGTCCTGTGATTCACATGATATTTTGCTAACAGGCAGATACGATTGATTCTAACAATAAATGCCAAAGTTTTAAACAGAAATATCTTGGGATTTATTAGTGCTTAGAGTAAGTGTTGAAATTTCCACTTAACTTAAAAACTGTGCATTCATTTCAATTAAATCCATAAGGTTATTTTTTGTGTTAGACATGTTGAATTTGATTGACTCATTTTATCAGTCATAGGCGTGCATTTTCTGAGTTTCATTAAAGGGATCCTCGATTAGTTGTAACATTAGACTTTATATGATAAACATATACTTTAACTGTAAAATAAAGAGGATGTTTGGTTTTTATCATTTTTTAACTAAAAGTTTAAAAATATATTACACGGACAGGGCCATTTTATTTACACGCAAAGCATTCTGGGTAAATGATGACATCAACTAGGTCATCAATGCGATGCTGCTAGCGAGCTATATCCACCCTGAAGGTTAATCTTGGACAATATCTGTCGATTGTCTCTTTTAAATGAAACCAGAGAGCGTTGACAGAGAGAAGGTAGAAATGACTCAGCCTGTAACTGAAAATATAGATGGAGGACAACAGAGCTGCTTCATGGAAGAAGAACCTCAGCTTAGCCTGTTAGCTTTAGTGTTAGCCCCGATGCTATCACCATTTATATGTATTAGCTCAGTGCTACACATTCTCCTCTCGTCACTGAGGTCCTCCATCCACATGACAGAGAGGGGAACACAAAAATGACTCAGTCTGCAACTGAAAATATAGATGGAGGACCTCAGTTTAGCTTGTTTGTCGCACTAGCGCCGAGCTAATACATATAAGGCAATATAGCATGAGGGCTAGTGCGAAGGCTAACAAGCTAAGCTGAGGTTCTTCTTCCATGAAGCAGCTCTGTTGTCCTCCATCTATATTTTCAGTTACAGGCTGAGTCATTTCTACCTTCTCCTCTCTGTCAACGCTCTCTGGTTTCATTTAAAAGAGTCAATCGTCAGATATTTTCCAAGATTAACCTTCAGGGTGGATATAGCTCGCTAGCAGCCTCACATGATGACCTAGTTGATGTCATCATTTATCCAAAATGCTTTGCGTGTAAATAAAATGGCTCCGTCCGTGTTAAAATATATTTAAAAAAATTTATTTTACAGTCTTTATTTTACAGTTAAAATAAATGTTTATCGAATAAAGTTTAATGTTACAACTAATTGTGGATTCCTTTAAATTCCATCTAATGAGAGTTTTCTAACAGACAAACACAAAGGTGTTCACTGCCTTTCATGGCAGTGGGCAATACTGTATAACTGATTTGACATTTGACATTTGTTTGGAGCAAAAATATTTTAAGTGCCATTTCACTTATCACAGTTTGTATGTTCTTCAGTACAATACTCATAAAAAGGTCAAAATTTGTGTCAACAGTGGCTAACCTCTTTTCCCCCCAAATTTCTCTATGTGTGCAGTAATACCTTATAAACCATTCAACAAATTAAAAAAACTGTCAATTTTGCTGTTGAGTTGTAATCTTTCTCCCCACTTTGTGGAGTGAAATGCTCCACCCTACCGTCCAAGTGATGGTCAGTTCTCTGCTGGCTCCTCCACCACCACCGACATCTGAGGGCGCCACCACAGGAACTGCAACGAGACAGCAACAGCGAAAGAAAAAAAAATGTAAGCCCACATGCTATGAATCCACACAAACAAAGCCAACCCACACAGGCTGTAACTTTGTCCTGGCTAACGTGGCTGAAACATCCTTCCTCTGTAAACACAGTATCAGTGTCTTCTCCTACGCCAAACTCCCGACTCTTAATGTGCGTGCAGGACACTTGCCAGCCGGAGAGGCGAGCGAGGGAAAAGCTTTTCTTGTTCGAGCTCACCTTCAACCGGTGATTATTTTTTTAAAGGGGTCACTGAAGGTCTGCGATCCGCGCTTTTATAGATGAATCTCGGTGTACAATTTCGCCAACATGCTCATTTGTGGCGGTTTGTGTGGTGAGTTTGGCAGACATGGTTCTGCTTTTTGGAAGCAAAACGCAAAGCGAATCCTGCTGACTCATTTCTACAGCGATACTCATCGCATGTAAACAGTGCAATAATAGAACGACTATGTATAAATAAAATGGAAAGCTGGACTGCTCGCACGATGACTTTTCTCCTTTTCCATGACCTTTCAAGTTACCCTGCTCCACTATTCTATCCAGGACAAATAGGAGAATCAGGACACAGTTTTACCTGATTCCTGAGTTTTCTCTTTAGACGATGGCCTGCTTGGATCTCCTGTTCCCAGAGTGTTGGTGGCAATGACCCTGAACTCGTATTCTGTCCAGGGGAACAAATCCACCACAGTGGCTGTCTCTGTGTTCCCTTCAACATTAGCTGGAGCTGCAGGAAAATACACATTTTATGCCTTTAAACCCCTTTCCTTTGGTTTAATTCACTGAGGAATGATTCAGTTATATTCCAGCTATCTTTGAAAGATCTAACTAACATGTATCTATAGTATCGTCACGCTGCATAAAGGAAGTTATTAATTTTGTCTTAGCACTTATGGTAGCAGAGTTTGTTTAAAGAGCTTGCAGGAGTTCTTACATGTAGTGGCAATCTTCCACTCATCTTTGGAGAACTGGTCTCTGTACTGGATGGTATATTTGGAAACTGGGCTGTGGTGGTCTGCTCCACGGCTCCACTGCAGCGTCACACTCTTGTCAGTTTTGTTTATTATTCGTACTCCACCTGGGGGACCAGGGGGACCTGAGAAGAGAAGATGAACAGTTTTAAGTCTGTTGGAAAATGATACAGACACACATACACACATACACACATACACACATTTAGAAAACCAAACAAATTGGTGCCAAACATTTGCTTGTGCTGCTTTTATTTTAAATATAATAATGTCTCCAGAGGTCATACGATCATGCATTGTCCCACTGTAAACTTGGCTACCTTTTGTTTCGAGTTTGTAATCAAACCAATGACCTCTGGAAAATTTGATTAACATTTTTAAAATAAGAGCAGCACAACCAACATGTTTTTCTCCACAAAGCACAAATATTTGATAGCGATTTTGTTAGATTTAAAAAAGGTGGTGGGGTGGCAATTTGTGCGCAAATTGCAGACAGAGACTGAGTCAACAGTTTCAGCCTCTATAGGGAAATTCTTGGCAAAAGAACAAACAGCACATCACAACTTCTACACTTCCTTTCTGCATCATCTTTATTGAAAGAAGTCTTCAAAGACTAACAGATAAGGACATGAAAGCTTAGAGTGCAATGAGGTAAATAAACTAAAGCTCAAAGCATTTTACATTCAGTGTTTCTCTTGGTCCTCATCCTCTTCTCGCTTCTTCCGCTGGAACAGAAACATGGCCTAATAGAAAAGCCAGACTGTGTCAGGGTTTGCCCTCCCAACCACAGTCTTAGAAAGCAGCCAGAGTTCACTTTTTCCAAATTATGAGCACAAACCATGAGCTGTAAAAAAAGGATTACGTTTAAAGAAGTAGTTCAGATCTTTTAAATTGGGGTTTTCTGGAAACACTGTGCATAAATATTTTATCTGTTGTCGAGAACTTTTCCATTATCAAATTTATTTATAAAGCACATTTTAAAATCATGTTGTTACCAAAGTGCAGAAAACAGGGAAAACAGTAAAAAAAAAGTCTATATAAAAGCAAACAACATAATTTAAAAGCATAAGGCAAATTAAAAATAACAATAAAATAGAGGGAAAAAAGCAAACTTAATTAAAAATCAGAGAGAACAAGTGTGTTTTTAAAAGCGAATTAAAAACAGGAAGTGACGAGGCCTGTCTAATGTTGGAGGACAGATCATTCCAAAATTGAAAAAGCTCAATCTCCCCTCTTTTATCAGCAACCTCAGTTTAGAACAACAGAGTTTATATCTAACTGGACAGTGGAGCTAAGGATTAGTTTAAGTGAGACCAAAGTCAACTGCTGCCATCTTAAAACAAGGTAGACATGGACGCCAAAGCATCAACTGGTGTGCCTCAGCCTGCCCTAGGCTCATCTGCATTTAAAGCACTGGACATGCATGTGATCATACATGAAAAAGACATTGTACTAGGGGTATTGTCAAAAGGAACATTGTGGAGGAACGTTATGACCTTGGACTTTGACCTCAAGCAACAAAGATCACTTTACCTGACCTTTGACTCCAAAATATTTTCAGACCTCCATGGGGCCAAGAACAATTATCATATTGGTTTTGACTGAAATCAATAGCTCCGTTCAGTAGATACAGTGCACACAAGACAGTGTGGTGGACAGAATTTGGCACTCACTAACACACAGACGGACAACCAAAGAACAGGAACAGTAAGCCCCCAGTGGGCGGAGCCATAATAACTAATCTCCAAAATGTTCTAGCGATCCATGCAAACGTTCTTCACTGTGACTAATGTTGCATTGCATACTTATTTCAGCTGCAATATTATATTCCTGCCTAAAGCGTCTCAGACTGCACCACAAGTGCTATAGCTAGCTGCTGCTGTTAATGAATGCTTATAAATAACTATAGGACTACTATGTAAACCACAATGTGATGCAAATTAAGACAGAGTTCATTTGATATTTTTTTCAGACCAGAGTAGGTTTATGAAAGCAGCAATCCATTTTTATTTTTCAAGTTTTCCCTCATTTGTAAGAAATTAAAGAGCATGCCAAGATAGAAAAAAAAATATATAGTAAATTCATCAATGAAGATATTGTAGTGTATGGAGAGCCGTTTTAGCC